AGATAGTCTTACAGGACCGAAAGGCCATTTCCGACTTAAAATGATGAAGATAAACTACTTTCCGAATGAAGCAGTACGTTGTTTCATTTTGTTTAAATAATTTGACCACTATACTTTCAACGTTTGAAATCAAATGTGTCATCGCTAACTTACCTTTTTCATATGTTCTGTAAATTTTTCCAGTGGCGAGAAAGTTCCGGCAACGTGCTGTCAGGGGGTAGATGATGACGATATTTCTAGCACCATAAATACGGCATGCACGACCACCCCGAAAGATTACTACACAAAGGTAAATTGTGTGAAAATGCTTTTAGTTCTACCACGTGGTTTTAGTTCTAAACAAATACAGACAGTGTAGCTTTTGATAATGCATAACGCATAACGCATGCATATTTTTCACATACAAAGGAAAATAAAGACTATTCCGGCACAATTATTACTGAAAATATGTCTGACAATCATAATCAATCTAAAAAATGCTCATCAAAGCCGACATATAAAAATTAATTACTGTTTACTTTAATATTTATGAATTTACTTAATTTAGTTGGACTTTTACTCGATATATTGGAATAAACTTAGTCAACAACTCCGAGAAATAAATTACTATTTGTTTACAAGTTCAGTTAGACCCATTATTCGACTGACGGAAAGGACCGAAAAGTTGCGATTTGTGTTTGAGGTCCAATCGCAACAACTCGGCCCTTTCCGTCAGTCTTCGGATAAGGTTATTATAGATAATAGCCGAGGCAGTTCCGAATGTTTGAGGTCCTTAGAAACTTGACATTGTTTAAGAAAATTGTTAAAAATAGACTGAAAGATCAGTTCATTCAAAATTGGCATAGTGAAATGTCACAATCAAGTAAATGTCTGAATTATAGAATGTACAAAAGTGAATTCAGATTTGAAAAGTTTTTAGATATTTTACCATCTCATTTAGCTTTGGTACTATTGCGCTTTAGATGTATGAACCATAAAATGCCTATTGAGTCTGGTAGATTTTGTAATATACCAAGAGAATTAAGAGTGTGTAATTTATGCAATAATAGCTCACTTGGTGATGAATATCATTATTTATTTAATTGTCAATTCTTTAATACTGATAGAGAAAAAATATATTACTAGAGAGTATAGTACTAATGTTAATTCAATCAAGTTTTCTATGTTAATGAATAGCACAGATAGGAGTATATTGTTAAAACTTGCAGTATTCTGTAAAAAATTATTTCAGCATTTAAGTAACTGATAACTAAGCTTATTTTCATAATGTAACACTTTCATTTTTGATTTATATTTGCCATGTAATACATCAGCATATTTCGTGGATATCTCTTTATATGTCATACTATATGTATATATTATTGTATATGTGACTGATGCCTCTATGAGGCCCAGCATTTTCAATAAACTGTTCACAGAAAGGGCCGAGAAGATGCGATTGATGTTAAAGAAAATCTGAACATGTTTGTAACCGAATGCGTTTAACTACACTCGAGAACTTAAATGCTACTTTTGTAATTGCAGAACTTTATTTTCATCGAAATTGATGAAGATTTTATAAATAAGACATCAGTTTCTTATTGTCATGTTCATTCGTTACAGGGTTGTTACACACAACTCGTTGATCTAACAAAACTCAACAGTAGCATCTTCTTTTGTGCTGCCGGAGCCCTCTTGATCCTTGAGGTATTTGTAGAGATTTATAAATTATTTGAAAGGTATTTGGATACTCTAACTCAAATACGGTAGACAACGATATATTAGACTAGCATATAGCCTGTTTGACCACCAGGTGGTTTGACATGTACGTATACCGTACATAGTTTATACAGAATGTATTTTGGTTCGATTAAGTAAAAAGCTGTAAGCTTAAAGAAATACTCTCAGATCCGTTGCTGGAACCAACCAATGTCATCTTCGTGATATAAAACTCTTTTAAATGCTTGTGACAAAGCATTGAAAAGTTGACTATCAGGTTTATTTATTATTTGTTTGTTTTTTCCACAAGAGAGTTTCCTATTTGTAAATTCAGTCTAAGAAACATTAGTTTTTCGAAGATCAATGGACTACTGTATTGTTTCTTTTCTCCGCAAAGAGAATTAAATGTTTGCTAGTCTTATTAAAAATCTTTTCTACGGGATTATCAAAAAATGTTTAGGAAACAAACAGTCCTAGGAGTAACACTTTCTCTTTTTGTATTTATTTCAGTTGTTAGCCATTTTAGGAGCATGTTTGTTGCTAGATAGAGGTAGCAAAGTTTCCCCGATGTGAGTTTTTGAGTGTATCTTATTACTTGTGTATAAATTTTAGAACATCATCGCGGCTCAAAGTTAACAATTTCAAAATCCGTAAATGTGTTTATGTTACAACATTTTTACTATACCGTATTTTATGTGCCCCTTGAAATGTTCCAAATTAAACTAAAACATTTTTCTGTTTTCTTTTATGTAATTAATTCATGTTGGATAAGTAATTTTGTGCTTACAGGGCCAGAGTTGATAGACCGCCGACACCATACGTTGCCATGTAAGTAAGATAGTTTTCTATGTCCCCCTCCCCATGTCTGCATATTCACATGTACATGTTTTTTCGTATTAATGATGATACTTAGCAATATTCGTCAAAATTAATATATTTGTTAATATGTTTTTCTAAACTTATAGTAAATGATACAAAATTTGTGTTTACATTATGATTCTTGTACATGAAAGAAATGGACCATGTTTAGTATGGCGACTGATTAATGCCATGTTCAATTTTTCGTGTGGCTAGGCGGAAAGGAGAAACGTCGAAAATCACGAGAGACAGTGGCTTTGTCGAGCTTCCTTATACCTAACCTTTAGCTTCCCTAGCAGGAAAATACAAGGACATAACAAATTTATGGCAAAAATACACACTATGGATGTTGCTTTTTCGCCATCAATTCTTCGCGGGACGAAATTCCAAGGGAAAAAAGAAATATAACAAATGGCGACTTTGCGAAATATCGTATAAAGTGAACGAATATAAAACTAATATTGTAACCATGAATATTAAAATACGTGTATCTATTATATACATATTTTCTTTTTATTAACAGGGACCGGATCATGAAAACAAAGTTTTAAAGTCGCAAGATGGAAATATATATACTTCAGGCCTTCACGGATTCTTCTCGTTTTTTGCTTGTATTTGAAAAGGATACATCCACTAGAGAACTTTCATACTTGATCAACTATGATAATGTTTAGCGAAAAGGGAACCAAAGTTATGGAATAACAAATTAGTCATTATTGTTGATTTTAAACGTTACTCGTAAAATGTGGTATTTCATAATCCACTAGTATTGTACTGAGTATATTATTTTTTTTTCTACTTTTAACCCATGTGCACATATTATATTATGAGTAGTCTGGTTACCTGCCCCTGTTACTACGCAATTGATAATCACAGAATAGTACTAGGCATGGAACCATACTTATGCGTTTTACAAACATCGAAATAACACTCGTATTTTTATCAAATGATCTCTTTTTTTAACTGTATATTGTACTTATTCTAGTATGGTTACCTGCCCCTGTTACTACGTAATTGATAATCACAGAATAGTACTAGGCATGGAACCATACTTATGCGTTTTACAAACATCGAAATAACACTCGTATTTTTATCAAATGATCTTTTTTTTAACTGTAGATTGTACTTATTCTAGGTATGTAATAAATGGAACATTATGTTTATTTAGCTTCAAAACTTAATTTATTGAACTCGCTGAATGAAATATTTAATTCAAATAGTTTAATAAGTTCAAATCTGTTACCTATACACTCATTCAATACCCCTATTATATACCCGTAATGACGTTATCCAATTAATTGTTATGTTTTTCTTGTTACATTGTTATTTTATTTCAATTGGTACGTATTAACATTTTTTAATTCTAAACATTATAATCAAATTAAATAGCTACATGCCATCTACTCTGTGGATAATTACGTTGAAAAAGGTCTGTCTGTGACATCTATCTATAATGAGATGAATGTAAAGTAAATTTTCATATATTGATACGTGAATTGTGTAAATGTTGCATACACCGGGAATTGTAAGGAAATATAATTCAAAATTTATTTGAAGTTTTAAAATTACAGTGCGCTGAAGTTTATTACAACGCAACAACCTTTCATTATTTACTTACTCGATAAATGAGCCGTGTCACGACAAAAACCAACATAATGGGTTTGCGACCAGCTTAGATCCAGACCAGCTTGCGCATCCGCGCAGTCTGATCAGGATCCATGTTGTTCGCTTACGAACCATATAACAAGACGAGAAACTGATAGCGAATAGCGGATGCGCAGGCTGATCTGGATCCATGCTGGTCGCAAACCCATTATGTTGGTTTTGTCATGATGCGGCACAAATAGTAACTTTAAAGATAGACTTGTGAAAAGATGTCACGTAATTCACCTCATTGTTGTATATTTTCGTTCCTTCGGGATCATTGATTCCAATTCCTTTAGTGTCGATATTCAACTTGTTCAACAATGATCCCGGGGAATTTTTAAATACATTTTTGACATGTAATCAACTATTTTAACTCGAATTTTATCTATATGTTTTATTTTGAATATATTTAAAAAAAATACAAACTTGGTACATTGTGTTTATTTCTTGTGTTATTTTTCGCTTTAGAACTATATTTTTGTATAGGGTGTATGTTATCTAACACTTACAGGACTTACACTATTTACTGTGCATTTGACACGTTTACGTATCTTTTAGAAAAGAATTGTGCATTGTAAAGCACGGGTTATTCAAATGAAGAGCGCATATACGATTGCCAATCTTGAATGATTAATACATCGCTAAATGCACTTATAAATTATCGTCAAAATACAATACATTCCTATCGCAATTGTCATGTTTACACTGTACATTTTTATTTTATCATGAAATGAAAAAATAAATCAAATTCAAATGTTTTGACATCATTCGAATAAAAGTCTCTTGTAAAATACGGC